ATCATATTGATAATTACGTTAAATGTAAATGCACTAAACAGATCAATTAAAAGGTAGAGATTGCCAAAATGGATTAAAAAAAACAAGATCTGACTATATATTTTCTATAAGAAATATACTCTAACTATTAAGGTACAGAGAGGTTAAAAGTAAGGATGGAGGGAAAACATAATTTCACAGAAAAGACTTCCATAATATGTTCATAGCAGCTTTATTCATATAATTAAAAACTGGAAATAACCCAAATGCCCCCACAACAAGAAAATGAGTAAACAAATTACCATAGGTTCATATAATGGAATACTACTTAGAAAGAAAAAAAAGAAGAAAAGAAAAAGAAAGAACAAACTAGTGACACAACAGTAAAGGAGTATATACTGAGTGATTCAATTTATATCACGTTCTAGAACTGACATATTTAATCTAATGTGAAAAATTAAGTTTGTTTGTCTCAGGGTGGTGGGGTGGCAGGATTGACTGGGAAAGGGCACAAGGGAATTTTCTAGGATGATGAGAATGTTCTGTATCTTGAGAGGGATGTGGGTTACATGGGCATATGCATATAAAAGCTCATTAAAATATACACTTATGACCTATGCATTTCACTCTATATAAGTTATACCTCAAAATTAAAAGGCAAAAAATTGGGCAAAATTGCTTTCTCAGTCAAGATAAATAAGCTCTCAGCAATCTAAAGATAGAAGATAACTTCCTTAACCTGATGAATTAAGTATCTCTCAAAAACCTACTTTGTAAACATCAAAATTTTAATGACAAAATTTAGAAACATTTTTATCAAAGGAAGCTAAAAGGCAAGGACATCCAGTAATATCAGCATTGGTCAACATTGTATTAGCCATTGTAATAAGACAAAAGAATGAAGATATAGCAAGACTTTTCACTATTCATCTTTTAATATTTCTTGAAGCATTTGAAGGTAACACATATTCCAAGATTAAATGAAAATAATATCAAAAATAAATGTTGCTGACTTAGCTCAGAAACAAAAAGAAATGAGCTATAATAATTTGAAATGAACGTCATCCTTTTCTGATAGTATTATCTGTATAAAAAAATCCACGAGTATCTGCAGACAGGTTATTAGATCTCTGGTATCTCATTGCCTTATAAGGACACCAGTCCCATTGGATTAGGGCCCCACTCTTATGGCGGCATTTAACCTTAATACTTCCTTAAAGGCCCTGTCTCCAAATACAGTCATATTGGGGGTTAGGGCTTCAACATATGCATATTTGAGGGGACACAATTCAGCCCAGAACAGGCAGATTCACAAGTTCATTAAAGTTTCAATTATCTATTGTATGAAACTACCCCAAAGTTTATTGTTTTGTCTTAATGCAACAATAATAATTCAATATTTCTCATGATTCATGGTACTTGAAAATTTGTTGCTAAGACCGATGTTGAAGAGCATACTGCCTATGTTTTCTTCTAGAAATTTCATGGTTTCAGGTGTCACATTCAAGTCTTTACTCTATTTTGAGTTAATTTTGGTGTATGGTGTAAGAATACTGGTCTACTTTCATTTTTTTGCATGTGGCTGTCCAGTTTTCCCAACACCATTTATTGAAAAGACTTTCCTTTCTCCATTGTATGTTCTTGGCTCCCTTGTTGAAAATTAGCTGTCTGACCGGGCAAGGGAAACAATAGAAAGAATAAACAAATGGGACTACATCAAACTAAAAAGCTTCTGCACAGCAAAGGAAACCATCAACAAAACAAAAAGACATCCTAACAATTGGGAGAAGGTATTTGCAAACCATATATCTGATAAGGGGTTAATATCCAAAATATATAAAGAACTCATACATCTCAACAACAAAAAAACTAACAACCCATTTAAAAAATGGGAAAAGACCTGAACAGACATTTCTCCAAAGAAGATATACAGATGGCCAACAGGCGCAAGAAAAGATGTTCAACGTCATTAACTATCAGGGAAATGCAAATCAAAACTACAATGAGATATCATCTCATGCCCATCAGAATGGCTATAATTAACAAGACAGGGGGGCCGGCCCCGTGGCGGAGTGGTTAAGTGCACACGGTCTGCTGTGGCGTCCCAGGGTTTGGATCCTGGGCTCACACCGGTGCACCGCTATGCTGTGGCTGCGTCCCATACAAAGTGGAGGAAGATGGGCAGGATGTTAGCCCAGGGCCAGTCTTCCTCAGCATAAAGAGGAGGATTGGTATGGATGTTAGCTCAGGACTGATCTTCCTCACAAAAAAAAAAAAAAAAACAAGAAGTGTTGGTGAGGATGTGGAGAGAAGGGAACTTGCATACACTGCTGGTGGGAGTGCAAACTGGTGCAGCCACTATGGAAAAGAGTATGGAGATTCCTCAAAAAATTAAGAATAGAACTACCATACGATCCAGCTATTCCACTGCTGGGTATCGATCCAAAGAACGTAAAAACGCCAATGTGTAAAGATACACACACCCCTGTGTTCATTGCAGCGTTATTCACAATAGCCAAGACTTGGAAGCAACCTAAGGGCCCATCAAGGGACAAATGGATAAAGAAGATGTGGTATATACACACAATGGAATACTACTCAGCCATAAGAAACGATGAAATCCAGCCATTTGTGACAACATGGGTGGACCTTGACGGTGTTATGCTAAGCAAAATAAGTCAGAGGGAGAAAGTCAAATACCGTAAGATGTCACTCATAAGTAGAAGATAAAAACAACAACAAACAAACACATAGAGACAGAGATTGGATTGGTGATTACCAGAGGGGAAGTGGGGAGGGTAGAGGGTGAAAGGGACGATTAGGCACATGTGTGTGGTGATGGATTATAATAAGTGTTTGGGTGGTGAACATGATGTAATCTATACAGAAATTGAAATATAATGATGTACACCTGAAATTTACATAATGTTATAAACCAATGTTACCACCAATAAATAAATAAATAAAACAGATTAAAAAAATAGTTCTCATGATTCTGTGGGTTGGCCAGTTGATTCTTCTGCTTCACGTGGTGTTGGTAACAATTTTGTCAATTTTTTCACTAGCACAAAACATGGTTTACTGTCCTTTCAGAGTTCAATAGCAGTTTCCTTACTGCTTTTCCAGTGTCCACTAACAGTCTCCTCGCTACCCTTCCAGCCTCCATCCACCACCCAGACCCAAGGCCATGCCACATGTGTTAGGTTTTTATCAAAGCAGCACCTCACTCTTAGGTACCAATTTCTCTTTCAACTGGTCTTTGTTGTGGAATAAAACACTGCAAAACTTAATGGATTAAATCAACGATTCATCATTTCACTTAATGCTCTGAGCTGGCTTAGCAGTTCTCTGCTGCTTTCACTTAAGCTCATACACGCAGCTGCATTTAGCTGGCAGGTCAGCTGGCTGGGTGGTGAACTTAGCTGGGACAGCTGGGTGTCTCTTTCCGTATGCTCTTTTATCCTGGGTTTCATTTTGCTATGATGGTCTCAAGGCAGCATTCCAAGAGACCGAAGGCAGAAACCATATCACTTTATGTGCCCCAAGCTCTGGAACTTGCAAAATGTCACTTCTGCCGCATTCTACTGGATAAAGCAAAGAGCGAAGCCAGCCCAGATTCAAGAGATGGGGAAACAGACTCCACCTCTTAATAGGAGGAGCCGTGAAGAATGTGTGGCCGTGTGTAATTTACTGCAGAAAGTTATGCCATGTTCCTAGACGGAAAGACTCAATATCATCAAGATGTCAGTTCCTTCAAATAAATCTGTACAGTCAATGTCATACTAATCAAAATCCCAACAGGATATTTCAGGAAACTTGATAAGGTGTTTCTAAAATTCATATGGAGGATCGAAGGGCTCAGAATCACCACACGATTTCGAGGAAGGACGGTCCTCACAGATTTCAAGATTTATTGTAAAGCTATGGTAGCAGCAGTGTGCTGGTACAGCGATTCAAGGAGAAATTCAAGTGAAGTCCACACTATATACAGCATAAATGGGATGTATTACAACTCAAATGGCTTGATGGTGAAATGACACTTATGATTTAATAGTGAAAATATGCAAATATAAGATTGTGGAAAGCAAAATTTTTTCCAGCTTTATTGAGATACAATTGACATACAACATTGTGTAAGTTTAAGGTGTATAATGTGCTGATTCGATACACTTATATACTGCAAATGGTTCTCACCCTAGCATTAGCTAATACCTCCATCACCTCACATAATTACTATTTCTTTTTTTATGGTGAGAACACTTAAGATCTCCTCTCTTAGCAACTTGCAAGTACGTAATAGTGTTATTAACTATAATCACCATGCTGTACATTAGATCCTCAGAACTTATTCATCCAATAACTGGAAGTTTGTACCCTTTGACCAACATCTCCCCATTTTCCCCAACCCCCAGCCCTGGCAACCACCATTCTAGTCTCTGTTTCTATGAGTTTGGCTCTTTTAGATTCCACATATAAGTGATATCATATAGTATTTGTCTTTCTCTGTCTGACTTATTTCACTTAGCATAATACCAGCAAAAAAATTTTTTAAGGCATGCATCTCAATTGAGCTCTATCATAAAATGCCCTAATAGATACAGCTTTTTACTTTTGGTGAGTTAAAGACTTTGTGTGTGTGTGATTTCTGTCTCAATTTTTGAAGAATATAGAAGAATTTGTATTGCAGAAAATTGTATTTGTGGAAAATTTTAAACTGAGGAGATGCTAACGACGTGCATTTGGAATAGGAGATAGTTGGAAAGTAAACATAACAGAATTCCAAAACCTGTTAACAGAGAGAATGGCAACTCTCTTGAACTCAAGGAGGAATGAAATGCCAACAGGCAGTAAAACGTTTTTTCTAAACCTAAACAGAAAGGTCTCTCATACCAGCAAATTCCTGCACACACACACACACACACACACACACACACACACACACACACACGGAAAAGCCACCCACCATTTATAAAACAAAAGCCAATTATAGTGTGAGAAAGTACAAACTGCAGAAAATCAGAAGTCTATAGAATAGAAGCAACTGGTTTACAGGAGAGAGAGAACACTTCATTCTGAGCAGAGTTACTTGGTGAAGGCTGCCACCACCGCCCACAGAACCTCGTTGGCATTGGCCTTCAGACATTCCACTTCAGGATCTAAGTCGAGAAGCTGCCGCACTCTCTTGGTGGCTAAATCATACTGCTCGTCCAGAAGGGGAGCAAAAGCATTCTCCAGAACATCTGAGGCATGGGTTAGGTAAATAAGGGCCAGCAAGCGCTTGTCCATGCGGTGAGGGTCATTCACCCATTTGTCAAGAACAGCTTCCTGCACCTTCTTGATGAGACGCTGCTTAATGTTGTTGTTGGTGAGGGGATGTGTCGTCATGTCAAAAAGTAGGAAGTTCTGTTTCTCTGTTGTCAATACGCCCTTTTCCATCAGATTTTTAGTTAATTGTCCTTCCATATTTCTTAACCGATAATACAATTCTAGGGAATTCTATGTCCCACTTAAACAAAATCTTTTAAAAGTTAGAGAAGAATTTCAGCTATTCTTTTCTATGTATTCTTAATATGAACAGCAAAATTGTTCATCGTAGCTAGTGTGTTTCTAGAAAAGTGGAATACTAAAAGTGTTCTATGTTAGTCTGTGTTCCCAGAATGTGAACTTCTTATAGGACAGGAATCATATTTTATTAATCTCTGTAGCCCTGGCACAAAGTATATTTCCTGGAACATAGTACTCATTCAACAAATATTTGGAAAAGAGAATGAATAAACTATTCTAATATATGAATTAGAACAGATTGCTGATAGTTTTAGTATGAGATAAAAATGAGTCAAATTGTAAAATGATAATTTTTGGCACATTTCTACTGGCATAAAGATGTCAATAAAGAGCCAAAAGATAAATGAGAGAAGTTTAATTATTTTTATTTTTTAATAAACTTTTTATAAGAATAATTTTAGATTTATGGAAAAGTTGGGAAGATAGTAGAGAGTTCCCATATGCCCCAAACCCAGTTTGCCCCACACCCCGTTACTGTGATACATTTGTCACAATTAATGAACTAATATTGATACATTACTATTAACTAAAGTTCATACACTATTCAGATTTCCTTAGTTCTTGCCTGATCTTTTTCTGTTCCAGGATCCCATTCAGATTACCATGTTACCTTTATTCCTCATATCTCCTTAGGCTCCTCCCGGCTGTGACAGTTCTCTAGACTTTCCTTCTTTTTGATGACCTTGACAGTTTTGAGAAGTACCAGCTGGGTACTTTGTAGATTGTCCTTCTATTGGAATTTGTCTGATGTTTTTCTCATAATTGGACTGGGGTTAAAGGTTTTGGGAAGTGAGATCACAAAGGGTGCATGCTATCAATAAGACTTATCACTGTTGATGTTGACCTTAATCACCTGGCTGAGGTCGTGTTCACCAGGCTTCTCCACTATAAAGCTATTCCTCCCCCACCCTTTCCATTCTGGACTCTTGGAAGAAAATCACTATGTGCAGCATACATTTAAGAAGTGGTGAGTTACGTTGCACTTCCTTGAGACTGAGGTATTTACATAAATGATTTGGAATTGAAAATTTCATTTCTCATGAAAGAATTATATTGAGATTCTCATTAAAGATGGCTGGTTGAAAAAATACTCCATTCTCAATGAAAATGAGAGTAAAAGGGTTTTTATAGAAGCACAAACCCATAGTGAGAACAGCAAAGAAATAGGAGCAAAATGTTGGACACTGCAAAGTAGATGGAAAAGTGGTAGATGGATTAGTGGATCCAAGAAAGCTAATCCTAAACTGGCTGTGGGCAAAGCGGAGAGGTAACCTACTTTACACCGCAGAACCCCAAAGGCTCAGAAACTGGCACCAGATAGCTGTGAAATGGGGTAGGAGGAGCAGATAATGGTAGGGCTAAAAACAGAGATTGTTTGAAAGTCTATTTAAAAAGCATTTCCAGATCTCCTCCTCTACTCTGTGTAGCCACCCCAGTAGAAGAGAATAAAACAGAGGGTCTCTGGACCCAGGGACACCAGGCACAGTTGAAAGAGGAAGGGATCTCCCACTGAAAACAGGAAAATCAAGCAAAAGTTTATGTCCTAAATTTGTGACATCTCAACCTATTCCTTCCTCTAAACTCCCAGAATACTGGAAGCTAGGATATACCCTCCAGCCAAGACATTGGAAGAATCTTCTCTGGAAAATTCCACCAGCCCCAAAGAAAAGGATGAAAAAGACTGACATGAGGATTTTCCCAAAGAATTACAACGAAGCCCCCACTTCACCACCTACCGCCACGCACACAAACAGCTTCCAAATAGCTTTTTTGGCCTCCCTTTCTAAATATGAGCAGACTGCTAGAGAGTCATACATTTGGGAAAAAATCCTCTAATGTGAAACACAGAGTTCAAAATAAAATATTAAAATAACTAAAAGATGTTTATAATTGCTCTAAAGTGGAAATAACCCAAACGTCTAGTCAACTGGTGAATGACCAAATGGTACAGCCACACAATGGAATACTCTTCAACAATAACAAGGAATGAACCACTGATGCATCTGCAAAAGGATGACCTTCAAAAACATCATGAGAGGTGAAAGAAATCAGACACAGAAGATGACATATCGTACTAAGCTATTTATATGAAATGTCCAGAAAAGGCAAATTTATAGAGACAGAAAGCAGGTTATTGGCTGATTGAGACTAGGGTTGGGAATGGAGATGAACTGCAAATGGCACAAAAGTTCTTTTTGGGATGATGGGAAAGTTCTAAAAGTTGATTGTCGTGATGGTTGAATGACTCAATAAATATACTAAACATCAGTGAATTAGACACATTTAAAATGGGTGAATTTTAATGGTATATAAATTATACCCCCAAATAACCTATTTTTTTTTAAAAGGAACTTAGACGAAACCAAAACTATAGAGGGAGAAGAAAAATTTTTTTAAAAAGTCATTATTGTTCTCAGAGACTAAGAGAGGATATTGTATCCATAAACCAGGAACAAAATGGTAGATTTAAAAAGAATAATATGCAGAGAACAACAACAACAAAATCACTATGAAAATAAAAACTGGATGGCAGAAATGAAAAACTCAGTAGAAAATGGAGGATATAGTTAGGAAATCCAGAACGTAGAGCAAAATGGCAAATAGTTGGACAATGAGAGAAAACATAAAAAATTAATTGATTGATCCAGGAGGCCTAACAGCTAAATAAGAGGAGCTCCAGAGAGAATAGAAAAGAATTGTGGAGAAAACTATTAACAAAATAACATAAGAGAATTTTCCAGAGCTGAAGAACACAAGCCTCTTCTCAAAAAGGCCCTTTGAGTATCCAGCCCAATGAATAAAAGACAAAAACAATAAACCAACAAAAACCCCAGCAAACAATAAAAAGCAACAACAAAAGGCTCATTATCATGAAATTTCAAACACTGGAAATAAACAGAAGACTCTAAAAGACAGAAGGAGGCAGGTAATGAACAGAAGATTGTAGGAATGGCATCAAATTTCTTGATGGGCGATGGAAGATAATGGAGCTAGGCCTTCAAATTTCCAAAAAAAAATTATTTTTTAACCAAGAATTCTATATTTAGCTAAACTCTCCATCAAGTGAGAGGGTAGAAAAGGGACAATTTAGACATGTAGGGCCTCTAAAAATGTACTTCTCATTCACCTTTCTTAGGAAGCTATTTGAGGATGTACCCAAGTATGGACACATGTGTGCACACACACACACGCACGCACACCCACAAGGGCTCAACTTTAAGCAGGATATTGGGATATTGGGATACATGGGAGTGAGGAAACAGAGGACCCAGTAGAGGCACAAAGAACTCCCAGGGTGATGGCACATGGAAGTCCCAGTACAGCAGGGGAGCGCCAGGCCCACGGTGGAACCATCCAGATTCCAATAGGAGGGTGGAGGCACTAGGAGGACTGTCTGGGACTGAAGGGGGAAGGGCAGGGATGTTATTTTTCAATTATCTAACATATTTTGTATAAAACTTAATTGAGAGGCATTTTACAGAGCTGCTGAGAATGTGGGAATAGTCAGATGTTCAAAGAAAATGTTTTAAAATGAGGCAATTATTAACTTCAGAAAAAAACAAATTATGTAAGAAAGGATATATAATTATGCTATTTGGCTTAAAAGTAAACTACATACTATAAATATAGTCAAAATTATGAAAACATTGAATATAGATTTAACAGATATTTGAGATATATTCAACAGATATTTGAGATATAAGTTTACTGAGAAGAAGATGGAAAAGAAAGAGAGGATATAAATGAGCTAAAATCCTTATTATCTATAATTGGAAATCAACAGGTAAGTCTAGTCAGATTAGTCAAAGGACAGCAGTACATACATATTATTTAGAAATAAGAAAGTAAAATCAGAGAAAATAGCTAAAAACAGTGAAATTGGTTGCTTGGTGGATGATGGGGGTGGGAAGGTGAAGAGAAGAGATTGCTGTTTTGTAAAAATTACTTTTCGCAATATTTGATCTTTTATACTATTCAAATATAGCACTTTAATAAAAATAAAAGTTGATTAGGAATAATAATTTCAGTCATTTTATTGAACACAAAAAAACTGTAGAGTTGAAATTATACAATAACGAGAAATAGGAAACTTCTAATTATACTACCACTCAATTTAATATACATAAAATTTTATTTAATCATGAATTAATACCAAAAAAGAAGACATGATTTGGAAAAGCCATTTTGCACTTTATGATTTGCTTTGTAAAATTAGAGTTTTAAAATTGTGATAATTAATTCACGAAGGGTTGAGGATAAAATTCTTGCTTTCTGAGGTTTATTAATATTTAAAGCCCAAGTCTGTATTTGAAGCATAAAGAGCTTTATCAGATTAAAGAGTGGCAAATCATTCCTCTTTGAAGAAAAACATTACAACTTACATTCAAATTCCTTCCATATCTTTTTAAAAGAGGAAAGACGGCATTGGTTTTAGGCTCATCATATTTACTATCCCAAGAGTTTGTAAATGGAAATTATACCCAAATGATGAATGTAATGCTGATTACTTCTTTCTTCCGGGTTAAACATGTGCACACACTTGTCCTTAAATGTTAAGAAATCAGCAACAGTTATTTTACCCATCTGCAGTCTGAGCCCAATGATGGGACAGACTACCCTCACCTTCCCTCCATTCCTTCCAGAAGCATTTACTTTGTTACCAGTATTCCCCGGGTGTTGAGGATACAAAAAAAGAATAAGATACAATCTTTTCTACAAGGAAATTACAATCTGGTGCCACTTTATACAAGTATACTACAAAACAACATGAAAAGGGAGAGAACAAAGTACTACAAGAATAGAGAAGAATGAGAATTTACAGGGGGTCTGGGGACAGAGTATACTGGAAAAAACTCTCCAAAGAGGACAGTTTCTCACTTTGATTTGGACAGCTGGACAAGGCCAGGGGGGAGGGCTAATGCCCTGGGGCAGCAGAGGCAGCAAACACAAAGCATTCATGACCACGGCAGGAACAGTGAAATGCACAGAGGACCTGGAAACCCTGCCTCCCGAAGCTGTTCACTTCTGGTCGCCGGTTACCCTGACGGCGCGCTCTCCCAACGTTACCCGCACACACTGGGAGGGAACGGGAGGTCTGGGGACGTGGTGTTAGAACTTGACACACCTGGGTGGAGGGCGAGGCGGGCTCTATAGAACAAGGGATGGCGGTTTCCTTTTTAGCACAGAGAAGAATGCATTGCAAGCACATTCAAATAAACGAGCGCCCTGTGAATAGTGCTAAATTTAAAATTCTCAGACAAAAGGATTTTCTTCAAGTTCCAGATTATTCAGGTTAACGTGAGAAAAGACTCGACAATTTATAGATGCAAATTGGACATGAGATGTTCTTTCATTTAACAATTATTTATTGGGCGCCTGCTATGGGATGCTGTCAGCGCTCAAGGCACCGGGAACAAAACAGTTCTTACCCTTGTGACACATATTCTAGTGGCTTCTATTTATTTATAGTTCATTTTTCTGGATTAAAAAAACAAATCATTGCCAGAAATCAATTTAAAAATTCATCAAGGCCAATTTAAGGGACTTACCAACAATACTTAAGAACACTTAGATGTAAATATAATAAGATGATTAAAAAAATTTTATTAGAAGAAAATTGTGT